TCTGGCTTCTCTTTCCTGATGAAGAGAAAATTACTGCAAAGCTCTTACGTTTCCATTCCGAACGAGCTGTTTTTTTCAAAAACTAAGGATTTTACTTCCTTTTGTGTTTTGTCTGCTTTGCACGTTTTGATGGTGGGGACTTTTCGGGAGTTGCTGGCTTCACTGTAAGGCATTCACTATCTTTCCACGGTTCAAATGCTCCTTCTCGAGTCAAATGCTGGTCAACAAATACAAGTGCAAGTAAAACCAATCATAATATGTTAGCAATCGAAAGAAACGTATAAATTTCATATTGTGTCCATAAAATTAGCTCAGATGGTAATAGTCACAAATTAATATAGCTTAAAAGGGAAATTAAAGAAGAGCTTAATAATTGAAGAAAAAAGATTATAAAGGAATATCAAAATATATAACGAGAAAGAGAACCGACGAGCTTGATAAAAGCAAAAGCAGTAAAAATAGTCTGAAGTGAAGTACTTTTATCGATAACTTGCTCAAAACCTCGCAGCCTGTTCAAATATATGAAAGCAGGAAAATTGAAGGCTTGAAGCAAAACATTGGTGTATAAAAAATGTTTATTTTCAATCCAAGAGAACAGGACATTTACACAAGACTAATGTGCAAAACTCAGACAAGCTTTTCTGTTAAACAACACAAGGAAAATACAAAGTAAATTTACTTACTTGGAGCCAAAAGAAAAATCCGCGAAGGATGTTCAAGGATTTCCTCCGCTTGTGTTGGGACCTTTCAAGTTTTCTCTCAATATCTGCATTTTATTGAAGGAGTTGACATGACATCATGCTTAGCACAAACATATATGTATTTATTATGTTAAGAGGCATAATAGTTAATTAGGGTACCCAAAAGCATGAGGACTATAAAACTGAGCCACTTACAAAAAAAAAAGCAACTTATTACAGTAAGCAAAAGCTTAAGAAAGAGTAAAAATTTTGGAATAATTATTTTCATATTAGTGTTTGCCAAAGAAAAATCTGGTTTCCATCATAAACCAACATGACACATAAAAAGGTGAAACTTCTGACCAATCTTCACAACATCTATACTACTCTAAAAGGACGAGTGTTTTTGTAAAAATATGAACTACCTAAAAAATCCTTACTTTGCCATATTTGTAATGGCAAATTAGTAATACACTAATACACATCATATTTTATATTTTTAAATATTAAAATGAATTACCTAATAAACCCTTACTTTGACATGTTTTTAATGGCAAATTAGTAATATATTAATGTCCATCATATCTTATATTTTTAATTATAACTAATATTTAATTAATTAAATATAAATACATGAACAAATCATTCCACACTCCTAAAATCAACTACAGTATGTTGGTTTGGCACAATTATTTCTCACGAATTTGTTTTCTTCCACATATCTCTAAAACTGTTTGATAGGATATAGAATTGTGTTTTGAAAAACGTCATTATTTTTAATATAATTTTAATGGTAATATTGTAATCACATTTCATAACTCTAATATATAAAAGTTCCTTAAAGAAATTAAAATTGATCCAACAAAAAAAGCATAATAAACACTTATAAAACTAGAAATCGATATTTTTTTTTTTTTCATAACGACCACAAAGTATAGAAACATTATTTTCAAAATAACCTATACAAAATGTGTAATAGTATGCGAGCATAATTGTTGAATGATTGTTCTTCAACCTAATTTCTTCGATACATAAGACCCGAATAATTTTATGAAATTGTATAATACTAAAACTTAATCTATTTGTTTTCACGTTAAATGAGATACCACTTTAGCAACATGGATTAATTTTAACCATATAATTATCTACCAATAAATTAAAAATATCTCGAGAATCATATATGATTTACATGTTGAAAATTAATTTCTTAATCAAATAATTATATTCATTTATTATCATTACTCATCTATCTATTAATATGTGTTATTATAATAAAATGGGTTTTAAGAAAAAAATGTACGAAATAAAAAATTTATATATTTGAGTATAAATTAGAAGATTATAATTATATATAATATAATATAAAGATATAAAATTAATTGATATAAATAAGACATATGATTCAAAAAAGTGCTATACTTTAATTTTATATATTTTTTAACAAACCTAAAAGTTATACACACAGACACATATATATTAAAATACATATGAAAAAACAGTTTAAAGTTATAAAAACAATAAATCTAATAAATAATATTAAATTTATAACTAAGTTGTAATACTTACTATTAACTATAAAAAAAAGTAATAAATAAAAATATTATAATTAGTAAAAGTAATTGTACAACGTTTAAATTTGTATTTATCGATGTAAATGAGTCAAATTGTTCACCACATGTTAAATTTTTGCGCTTATTAGTTCAATGTATAAATTTTAGACGATAGACAATAATTATTTATACTTTTATCCATGTAGGTTAGAATTTATTTTTATTTTTTTAAATAAAGCTTTGATAATTTTGATTTTAAATAACGTTTTATTTGCTATTAGTTTTTTAATATAATATATAAATACCATATTATATATATATACAATAATACTTTTTATTATTTGATATTTAATGTGCAAGAAATGTAATTCAGTTGATAAGTTAATAGGTAGTCTTGCGATAAAATAATGAACGATTTCTAAAAAATATATGGATTAAAAAGTTCATGTGTTTAATATATTTTTAATAGAAAAATTATAAATACATCTAATTAATAACAAAAACTTCTACATAAAAAATATAATTTATAAAGGAATAAAAAAATGGTACATTGCAATGAAAAATCCAACGGTAAGATATCCACTGAAAATCTCAAATGATATTTTATTCTTATAGTTGTCATTGTAAAATTTCATTGACTATTCCGAGATCAAATTACATTATATTGAAATTTTAGTGGATTTAATTAATCCAATTATCATTATTTGTTATTGTGTGAATTTCCGTTTGAATTTTTTTGGGGTCATTTTTCAACAGTTGGAAAAAATGTCACTGGAAATGTAAGAATTTCAATGGAAGTTCTATTCGAAATCTACCTGCAGTGGTGGATACAAAATAAATTCATACTTGAGGCATTATTTAGTTAATAGAAAAGGTATACCAGTAAAATAACATAATGTCATTATAATTTATATATTATATTTTTCATAATTTGTCATCTTTCTCATCTATAATATATGTTACACATCAATACAGTTACAATTAAAAAAAATAACTTTTCTCAATTCGACATAAGCATATAAATGAAAATAATTATGTTTTTCAAAATTTTATGAACAAAATTTGACTCGACAATATTATTGATGAATTTATGAATTATAAATATTTAATTGTAGAATAAATTAAAAAAAATTGTAATTAAATATAATATAATATAAGATATACAAATAATTGATATATAATGAGACAGATGGTCGAAACAATTCTAGACTTTATATCATGCATTTTTTGACAAATCTACAGTTAAGAACATGTAAAAGAACAAGATAAATGTTTAAAAAAATATTAAATATGATAAATAATATTAAAAATAAATAAGTTGTGACACGTACTAATAAATATGAAACAAAGTAATAAATAAAAATGTTATAATTAATAGAAGAAATATAAACCTTTTATAAATATACTTATCGACGTAAACGAGCTGAGTTGTTAAACGCTTGTTAGTTTTTTCTCGTTATAATTTTATGTGTAAATTTGATGTGATAGACAATAGTTATTTGTACATTTATCCATGTAAGTTACCAAAAAAAAATCTTTATTATTCTAATTTTAAATAACTTTTTATTTGCTATATTATTTTTTTTAATATAATATATAAATATGATGTTGAACATATAAAATAGGAAATATTCTAATTTTTAAATATTTCATATGTAAGAAATGTAACTCAATTGATAAATTAATAGGTAATCTTGAGATAAAATAATGAGTAATTTCTGGAAAAAAAAAATATAGGAACTAAAAAGTTCATGTGTTTAATATATTTTTAATAGAAAAATTGTAAACACAATTAATAAATAAATGCTACATAAAAAATTAATGTTTAAGAGGACTACAACAAATTGTTATATTGCAATGAAAAAATCAACGGTAAGGTAATCTACAGAAAATTCCAACGAATATTTTATAAATATTGCTTTCATTGGAAAATTTCATTGGCTATTCCAACAAAGTTCAAATTAAATTACTTGAACTTTAGTGGATTTAAAGATTTCAATTACTTGAATTTCCATTGGATTTTTTTGGATCATATTTCAATCGTTGGAAAAACTGTCATTGGAATTGTGCAAAAATTCAAAGGAAATCATTGGAAAGCTAATTGCAGTGATAGATCTAAAATAATTTCATATTGGGGGAATTATTTAGTTAATAGAAAAAATATTCCATCAAAATAACATGTCATTGTAATTTATAAATTAATCTATTACCTTTCTCATTTTGTAATACATTTTAATAAATCAATACAGTCACAATAAGATAAAATATATTTAAGAAACAAAAAGACATGATTTTTCTCAATTCAACATAAGAAGATCGTTATATTCTTGTTGTAATTTTCGTTGGAATTTTTTCATTTTCTTGTAGTAAAAGTAGGACTCCAAATCTATAAAAAAAATTGCATTATTATATAATATTGTGTGCAACTATTATTATGAAAATTTTGATATGATAGAAAATATAACACATTCAATGTAATTGTCATTTAATTTATGATAATAAGTAATTTTTGTTTCAAAACAAACAAGATACTTTGAAAGGTCCTTAATTATTTTATTAGTATTATAATAACTAAATAAGGGGTAAGAATGATGAGAAAACTTATAGCTCTCATTAAATCAAAGAGTAAAAATACTGATAAAATTACTTAATGTACAATATCAATTGGAGCTGGCTAATGAGAAATATAAAACATACTTAAGATACACATATATTTTAACTAAAACTTTTAGGTATACATTTCTTTAAATTCGGGTATGTTAATCTTAAAATTTTTTAGTTAAAAATTTAATTACTTTCTCTCATTAAATTTTTTTAATTTTGAGATACTTCATATTTTTTATTTGTTACTCTTTTTATATGTAACATATCACATTATTTCTTTTCAATAATGTTTGAGTTGACCAATATATTGTAAATAAAATAAAAAAAATATAATTATTTATATCGATATATAAGTAATAATTTTAAAATAATAAATTGACCTAAAATTATAGTTTATATTAATTTATTTATTCAAGTTAAATCAATTTTATTAAGTATAAAATAACATAAGATAAACTTGTGGTATATTTTTCTTACATAGATTTGAAGCAATTCATATTAAAAATAACATAAAAAAAAAATGGAGGTAAACTTACAACTATTCCCACATTTTGGCTAGAGCGCCCATTCCCAATATATATTTGACACTGGTTTGCCGTAATGCTGAAACTATGGCGAATGCACCTTAGATAAAAGAAGGAAAAGACTAGGCCAGAGAAGGGAAATGAGATAATATTAGCTATGTGAATTAAAAAAACAAATAAATGAGTTGTACATTAAACTATTATTTAATTACTGCTTGAAAAAGAACCCTATAAAGGTGGTACCATATATGTATTCAGTGATTATGAAAATGACTTAGTTACCTAATATTTCATCAAACATTGGAAAAAATTGTAAACTTTTTAATCTAATAATTCGTATAAAAAGTACATTTTTATCAAATATATTAAATTTACATTATATCTTATGTGATTATAGTAGTTGCAGCCTAATAAAAAAGATAATTTCAAAACATCATTATATAAAACATACAAAAAATAACGCAATACATATAAATGTGCTTTAATTATTTAGCAAATAAAATATTATTTATCTATAGAATAAGAAACAAATAATATAATAGTAACACAATGAGAAAAAGAATACGTGTGAATTTTCTTAGAGAAGTATGAATACTAATATTTACGAACAAAAAGTCTTTGAAAATTACTACTTTTTTGCTGCTAGCGTTTAAATATAGGGACTCTGTAAGAAATTGGTTTTCATAAATAATGATCCTATATTATTTATTTTTAATTTTAAATAATTAAAAAATCAAAAAATTTGTAATACATAATGTATATTTTAATCATGACTCCATAATAATAAACTTCGCAGATGACTAAGAGTATCGTAATATAATAGAATTCTAACTCTTCTTCTATCAAATATTTTAACAAATGATATGTTTCTCAATATTTTCTCATTGTTTTGATTGTTTTGTTTTGTCAAGAAATGATCTTTATCTTGAATTTTATAATCAATTTGTATGATGAATAATGTTGGACAATAAAAACATTAAAGAAGTTATTAGGCACACAAATATTGCATATTCAAACGAATGTGAAAGATACTATGATAAACAATTCTAAAATCATTCCAACAACCATGATGGTCAATAATTTTCAAATAATAGATTATATTGTTCGTCTATATTCCAAATAAATAACAATGTCGGAGTATCAAAACAATTTTGAATGTTCGAATGAAGTTGTCACTTTTTATAGAAATATTTATAATCTCATTGGTATATTGTACTCGAACATATGTGCAATTACTTTAGAGGTACTTTCAGGTAATGTATGATGATTTCAAAAAATAATTTAGCACCTCGGGAGAAGTACATGTAACCAAAATTTTGGAAAGTCAACTTTTATTTGGAGATAAAATTCATTCCCACCTCGTGGGGCGATGCATCAATGGGGTAGGCACCAATATGTCTAGAGACAGAGGAATGTAGTAGTTTATACAATGATAAAAGAATACCAACAATTTTAATGACACAATTAGTTATTTTATAGAGATATTTATGCATTGTTAGTAGAAGTACCTTATTATAAAGATTATACGATCATGAAGTTTGACTATATGTTGGGTCAGAATGTTTCTTAAGTGTTTGAATAAAATTAGTGTTTTGCCAAATGAATTAAGAGAAATTTTTCAATAGTATTGATGTATTAGACTCCAGCGAGTATGAATGTTTCTTATAAAAAAGATGAAAGAAAATCTTAATGGTTTTTGTATTAAGGATTTGTTTTTTATATATTTTAGTTGGGGTTGTAAAACGTTATTTCACTCTTTTTATATTAGGACATCATTACGCTAATTATAAATAAAAAAATCACATATGAATTCATTTGTTCTATATTTTATTTCATTCCTGCAATGATATGTTAATAAATAAATTAATTTATTCTACAAACTTACTCAGCAAAAATCATTCGATACCACGTGCATCGCACGTGCACTTTACTAGTTATCATAAAAATATAACACTAAAAGAGAGATAAAATAAAAGCTTGGAAACTGACCCGGATAATATTCATAATATGACCCATCTTCGAAAGCTTCTCGAAGCCTTTTTAACTCCTTATTATCAAAAGTTTTTCCCAGCACACCTATGACTTGCTCTCGGAACTCATCAGACGCACTTGTGGAACCACCAATGTGACCGAAATTGGTGTTCTCTTCAATCTTTATAAATAATGACATGAAAAGAAATAACAATTATTGACAAAAAAATGTAAAAAAAACCCACAAAAAATCGACTGAAATTCTGCNAAAACACCACCACCACTTACGCTTTTACGAAACCTCTTCGAAGGCACCGTGTAGTCCAGAATTTCCAAACCAGTCTTTCGTTTCCAACTGGATCGAGCTTTCACATTGCACTCCTCAGCCTTCAGACTTGAAAAATGTCCATTCTGCCCTTGCTTCAGTTTTCCTGCACGGCCCGCTTTATCCTTTTTACCTGGCTTCACTGTATGCGCACATTTGCAATCCAGCTTTTCCCTTTTTACCCGAACCAAGGGCTTTGTCTCCTCACTGTCTTCTCCAACCACATTCTTCCCTTTGCGCGATTTACTAATAACCTGTCGAGTATTCTTCATTTTTGTGCGCTGACTACTTTTTCGATCGGGTTCTTGGTAAAAAGGCACGCTATCCAAATAATACCCCACCAGATTCACATTTTCCTTTGCTCGATCGATTTCAACAAGTTTTTTAGTCTTTGTGCGATGTTTGCGGCGGCCAGAATCGTGCTTTCCATGTGGGACCCACAGAAGTCTGTTTCTCGAGCCATTCGGCCACGCGGGATCACTTTTGTTTTTTTCATAATCGATGAATTTATTTCGAGTGTTGGGCTGTTCATGGGATTCGGCCCTGCTCATGATAAGGCGCAGCATTTGCTTGTAGTTGGGGTCTGTGTTTTTCTTCTCCGTGATTCTTTTGAGCTCTGCCAATCCATTATTATCTGCCGAGTGTTTGCTTTTTGCCTTTAACTTTTTCACGTCGTTCAACATATCAAGGTTTTCGAAATGCCGTGCCATGATAGTAAATATCGAAAGCAGCAAACACCTCCTGCAGTATACAATTGTATTAGAATGAAGGCAAAAGAGATTAAACTGTAGAAAATCTATCAAATAATATGATTTCTATTATAAAGTATATAAACAACTTAATTGCATATTTTCAATAAAAGTGCAGGATTTTAAGAAAAATCATATTCTCCGGTGCAGAAATTACGCATCTTATTCTTACGTGCAAAAACTGAGATGAAAATTAGAGTAAAGGACAAGGAAATGAAACAACTCTGTGAACCCCTTACATTCACATCGCCTGTTCTGATTTGAAATTTAAGCACACAGTCGCAGGATAAACTGCTCGAAGACTGCCATTAGTAAGAGTGTAAAAACGTCAATTTCAGATGAGATGGGTGGAAAAAAGAAAATAATCTTCCTGAAAGGGTTTCATCTTCTTCATGTTTATTGTCATTCTTTATTTTTAAATCTCGATTTTAGTTTAAATAAATATAATATTTATATTTATATCACAAATAGTCAGTATCGTTCAACTGTCGTCTAACGTATAAGCTCTACTTACATTTAAAATGCTATTTTATTCTAACTATACAAGTCATTTTAGATACTTATTGTGTTCAAGTACAGACAACTAGTTAGTTT